ACTGCTACTGTCACTACTACTGCTACTACTACTGCTACTACTACTGCTTCTTCTACTGCTACTGCTACTGCTACTGCTGCTACTACTACTACTACTACTACTGCTCCTACTAGTTCCTGCTGCTACTACTACTCCTACTGCTATTGCTATTGCAACTGCTACTGCTTCTGCTCCTACTATTGCTGCTACTGCTACTGCTACTGCTTCTGCTACGACGACGACGACTACTCCTGCTGGTGCTGCTGCTTCCCGTCCTGGTTTAGCACGAGGATGATGGCTTCTGGACTCTTAAGATCCTCTATGGAAAACTATCCATCGAATGATGTCTTGAAGGCGAGAACAACTGCAACAGCAGCAGCGGCAGCAGCAACGACTGTCGGTTATGTAGCAGCATGAGCAGCCACGGCTACAACAACAGCAGCCACAGCAGCCACAGCACTGCTCATATACCGAAGAAGCAGCTGTGGCGCACCACTTGCTCCTGCTGTCGGTGCTTTGGCTAGTGCTGCTGGTGGTCCTCCCCTGGTGCTCTTCTCTGCTCCACCAAGACCTGCCCCCTGTCCGAACCAATGACTTTGTTCGTCTCTTTCCTTGCCTCGCCTCCTCGTGTTTGCAGCTGATGCTGCTGTTGTTATTGCTAGTGGTGACTTTGGCGGGGGTGGCGATGGCGTGATGGTGGCGGCGGCTTGGGAGTGCTCAAGCTCCTGGTCATTGTTGGTTTCGAACATCTCATGGTATGTTTATGTACGATCACTTGGATTTGCTACGATTTGCAAGCCGTGGACCAGTGCTTGCATTGCCGGTCGCAGCCTTGATGTAAAGAAGCGGAGGAAAGCCTGAGAGAGAGAGAGGGCGAGAGAGAGAAAAGACGAGAAAGAAAGAGAGAGTGAGAGAGCGAGAGAGGCATAGACAGAGAGGCGAGGGCAGACAAACGCACACAGGCACGGCTCGTACGGGCCTGGGACAGCTGGCGCCTGCCTGCCAAAGGGTTCATCGCGACTACAGGACTGGCAGCAGCCCCGGATCGCACCTGGAGAAGCAACAGCGGAATCTGAATACTGCTTGTAGTAGGAGTCCCTGAAAGTACGGCCTCGGAAGCCCCATCCGACGTCTTAAGGCCTCTGCTTGTAGGGTTTGCTTCCTCTCCGCCAATCCGAGTTCCTGAGCCGGCGCTGCTTGTCGAGATGGAGGCCCTTGGGTGGAGCGTGGTCAGAGGATATGATGTAATGTTAGGCTGTATTTCGAACCTCTAAGTCTATGCGTATTTGTTATAGTATGTGATAGTATGCCGCAGCATATTGCAGCATGTTATATTACATTGTAGTATCCTATCGTAAGTTCTATCTAGTATCTTACAATGCAGTGGAAGCATGACTCAGCGAGGCATCCACAAGCCTTGTCGATGCGACGGCTGGCTTCCAAAGCTTGGGCCCCAGCTTCCTTCGGCAGAGTGAGCAGCGTTTCGAGGAGCGACTTTCCATGGTGGTGTTTTTTTGAAGCCTAAGCTATACGCACTATACAAACCTAAGCTATACAACACTATACAAACTATACCATACCATATTATATACAAATCATGTACATTACGCTACTCTACACTCCGCTGCACTGCGCTGAACTACACTAGACTGGACTGGCGACGCCAAGTGCGTGCTTTCCAAAAGGCACAGCCAATGTCCGCTGCCGCGTGCCAGAAGGACTGTCCCTGGGCACGTGGGAGGTGCCGATGCTTGTTGTGCCAAGGATGGTCATAGTCTGTTGCCTTATCATGCAGACTTGTCACAAAGGAAGTTTCTTGCTTACCATTCGTCCTTGCATGGCGGAATATGGCGGATGTTTCCGAACTCAGCCTGTGTGAAGGTCGGCCTTGTCAACTACGACTCGCCCTTCGTGCTGGCGCAGAATTTCGTGCCTTTCCAGGCCCCAGGGTTGCCGTCAACTTCTCCTGCTACTGCTAGGAGGTCTTGGCCGCTGAATCATTGTCGGCCGTGCTCTGCAACAGGTGCTACAGATTTCCATCGTGGGAAGAGTCTCGCCGAATGCCACCTCCATGGGCAGCAACACTCCACTGGTGCTGCCAAGAGCTGAGCAGCTTTGAAATGGACATGAGCTCCTCCTGCAAGCGCCAGAGTGCAATCTAAACCAAAGACCTGTAATCCTATAGCTTAAGAAAGTATAGTATCATGACATCGTGTATTACCATACAACATAATGTGATATAGCATAACAATATAATATAGTCTATCAAAGTATACTGCAAAGTGTGGCAGGCTCAGTCCGCGCCCCGAGGTACGGAGGGCCCTTGGGCGCACTGCTGCGTGAGACCGAGGGATCGAGGCCTGCGACATGGCACCTCAGGAGCTGTGAGCTCGTGGGTTCAGGGCTGAGGTCCGGACCGTCCGGAGCTGGAAAGCAGTGTTCGTTCTTACGATGAGTTGGAGAAGAAGTTGTAGTATCAGAATTGGTCGTAACAGGATGACTAGCAGTAGTAGTAGTGGTGGTGGTGGTGGTGATATCAGCAGCAGCAGCAGCAGCAGCAGCAGGAGGAGGAGGAGGAGGAGCAGGAGGAGGAGTAGTAGTAGTAGTAGTAGTCGTAGTAGTGGTAGTGTGGTGGTAGTGGTACTGGTAGTGGTAGTGCTAGGATGCATGGTGTTCTTTGCATGGTGATGCTCCTGTAGGACGCCCGCAGCAAAAGACGTATCCCAAACCTTCAGAACATACTTTGTGATTTGCGACGCCCGATAGCTGAATGGTGCACGATGTCCTCGGCACTGCCATAGTTTCGGCAGTTGATGCGGGTAAAACCGCCAATTCTTCTTCAACAGCCGTTTCGGATCGACTTCTTCAGATTGGAATCTGAGCTTATCAAAACAGATCGAGTGCTGTTCCTCTCTACTTTCCTTTGTGATAAAAATGCTTAAGACGCCCGCAGCAAAAGAAGCATCCCAAACATTCAAAAACTACTTTCTGATTTCTGACACCCTCAGCTAAATTATAAACGATTTCCTCGGCCTTGCCAGTACTTTCGGCGCTTGATGTGGCAAAACACACCATGTTTGACACATTCCATTCTTGCTTGCAGCCCAAAACACCATAGGGGTGCTCAAATCTGAAGACTGGGTTCACTCCGAAACGCACAAAAACACCGGGCCTCCTACGGATTTGCGACCTAGTAACCTAGTAGTACGAGGAGGAGGAGGAAGACAAGGACGAGGACTGGGACCAGGAGTCTAGGAGTAAGCTTTCAGGAAGTCAGGGTCGCTAGACCCTAAACCCCACGCAGTTTGGGATCCAGCCTCCTTGTGAGGTGTGTCTTCCGGCCAGAAGGGTTCTCAGAGGAGGCAGAGGCTGCACCCTGGGCCGGGGCTCCAAGCGAAAGCACTTTCCCTTGTTGTAAATCCCGGAACGGATTTAGGGTTTAGGGTTTGCAAGCTGTGTTTACCGTCTGGCTTGAGTATTGGTGTGTTGTTCTCAGGGCAGATGCAGAGTCGTTCCATTCAGGGCCTTTGGTATGGCGGACGAGAAGATTCCGTACAGAGGGTTGCAGGATGTTGCAGGTCCAGGATGGAGAAGCCCTGAGCCTTCAACTCTGAGTCTTCAAGTCGACCTGTGCCCGGTGTAAAGTAGGTCAGCCAGATAGTGGGCTGACCTTCATCTGCCACGTGTTCAAACCCTTCTCGCTGACTAGTCGCTGTTTCTGCTCACCCACTCTCTCCGCCCTGCGCAGAAAAGTTTATCTTTGTCTGTCCTTGGGCATCCAGAGAGGGGCGATGCTCACGCGACAGCTTCCTTCTTCCCTCAAAGTTGTCCATATGCACAACGGCTTGCAAACTGGTACTGGTACCGCCCTCCTTTGAACCTGGCGTTCAGGGACAAGCTGGCAGATGATCTCGGGCTCAAGATCCTCTATCCCCGTGGCCGTTGGTTTTGGAACACGATTTGCCCAAAGGGCAGCTTCCCCCCAACAACCTCGCTCGCACTGCAAGGAGAAGAAGGTACCGGTTGAGTCTTTGAGGCTTGAGCCTGCCAAACCTCAAACCCACCCTACATCCAATCCCGAGGTCCTTGACAGCCAGCGGGTTGCTTGCTTTCCACCCGCGATTCCCGGGCTGCCTGGTGGTCGCAAGGCTTGAGTTTCTGAGGGGCCTTCCTTCGATTTCCAAGAAAGGGATTGTTCTAGGGTCAAGGGTGCACAGGTTCTTGTCTTTGGGTGTGGGGTTGAGGGGTCATGATGCAAAGGTTCAGCGTTTATGGTCTCTCCCCTTCCCCTTTCGAAAGGGCCCTAACTCTAGTTCGCGATCCTAGGGTATCTTGCCTTGCCCTCAATTCACTTATATGCCCCATCTGAAACGTCGAGCTCGCATCCCAAAGCCCAAGACCACCCAAGCCACAGACGGGAAACCCCAACCCGAAGCTCCACGTAACCCTAGCAGAACCCAGGCTCAAGGCCAAAAAATGCCGAGTTTACCAAGCCGCGCACCCTATAAAGGCAGCGTAACCCCAATGCCCTGGACTTGACCATTCAAAATGTCATACAGATTGAAGAGCCTAGGGGCCTAGACCCCCTGACAGGTTGGCGTTACTTTGCGGATTCACGGCATGGCTCTACCTTCCGAGGTCACGTGTATGCTTTAAACTCAAGACTGGCTTTAGGGCTCTAATTCGGGCATGTATAGCAGATAAAATAGCGTGGTGTGGGGGAGGATCTAGAACGATGGCGTGCTTTCTCACCGGCTCCTGTGAAATCCAGGGCAGAGTTGAGGACTGAATGTGCGTTTTATGATGTCGGTCAGATCGTCCAAACAAAGAAGATCTTGAGGAGCTTCGGCTTCGGCTTGTTGCAGTGTCTACGATTTGATGGCTCAATTGTGGGTCTTGACTCTTCTGAGAAGCCTTCTAAGATTTGACGGCTCTATTGCGGGTCTTGGCCTTGATAGTTTGCGGGTTTAGGCTTAGGCCTGACTGTATTGGTTAAGTCAAGAAGGGCTTCAGGTTTAGGTTTCAGGGCTTGGAGTTTTGGCCTTAGGGCCCTGACCCTTAGCCTTACACCCTCATAAACCCTGAGCCCTCGGCCCTCGACCAAACATAGACCCTAAACCCTATTATAAACCCTAACCCCCTCCCCCAAAATAGAACACACCAGGCCACCTTCCTCCTCTTTCCGGAGCGGCGCCTTACGGCGGCTCCGCTTCAAGGCCGGTGTGAAACCCGAAATGCGGATTTGGGTTTTCCGGGGGCTGACGCTGTTTGGGGTGTCGCAGTAGGGGCTTAGGTTCTGCAGGGCTCCAAGGATCTCAAGTATTCCTGCGGCTCTGGCCCAATGCTATCATAACTGTATCAATTTGTACTGTTAGTACTACTCGGGCTGGCCTTTATGGGCTTAGACTGTCACAGCTGCAAGAGTTCTCTTTGCGCAGACAAACGTACCAGACAAACCCAAACCTTGCAGCCTAGATTTTTACGGACGGATTTTTACGGACGGCCTTGCCCCAAACCTCAAAACCCTAAACCTTAAACTGAGCCCAAAACCATAAATCCCACGGGCTGAACCCCCAGATCTCAAGCCCTGAATCCCGAAACCTCAAATCCCACAGCTGAACCCCCCCCAAACCCTAAATCCCGAAGTCTGCGCAGCGGCTAGGCCAAGCTTCGAACATCAGGGTCCAAGCCGGGTTCCCGGCTTGCTGGGCGGTTAGAGAATTAGGGTTTAGGGTTTAGGGTGTACCTGATTTAGGGTTCAAGGTATCGGATGTAGGGTCCTTATAGTAAGGGACTCCTTGTTGGTTCGAGACAGGGTAGTTTTGGAAGAGTAAGGGGCCCGTTGTTATACATGGGCCCCTCATCTTCTGAAGCTCACTTCGCTGCTTGCACACAGAGTTCCCAGCCCTCCCAAAAAGTATGCAGTGGATTTGAATAGAGCGTTGAATTTCGTCTCCGCAACCTCAACACGACCGTAGAAATTTCAATCTTCATCGGGAGCCCAAAGCAGAGGCAGTCAAGGTGTAGCCTGCAAGGTTGCCAGATGCCAAGCAACGGCTTAGGCGTTGATGATCGGAATGAGAGAGCATGGAGCGTCTTCCACGCGAATCATCAAGGGGCCGCTCTGAAGTCAACGTATCCCACAAAACCCGCTTAGTAGCAGCCGGCTCCGAATCTGCAACCCTAGCAGAACTCAAGTAAGCATAAACCTGACATCGGAGTTTCACAAAAGAAGGGGCCCGTTTATAGATTCCAAGTAATCGGGCCCTGTGTACACGGACCGCACCCCTAAACCCCAAACCCGAAACCCTAAACCCTACACCCTAAACCCTAAACCCCAAACTCTCTAAACCCAAACCTTAAACTCTACACCCTGTAAACCCTAAACCCCAAACTCTCTAAACCCAAACCCTAAACCCCAAACCCTACACCCTCAAACCCCTTTCCGGGCCTCGACGTAAAGCGAGGTGGGGCTGGTCGGTGAGGCGGCAGCCGATGAAGCGAAAGCTTCGTTTCGTGTTGTCTCGAGCTGGATCTATACTCACAACCACATGTACATATACACCTCTATATATATATATGCATATATATATATATACGTATGCATATATGTATATGACTGTATATGTATGTATATATATAGAGAGACATGCACACATGTATGTACGTATATATGTAGGTGTACAGAAAAGAGGAAACGAAGATCAAGGTGCAGAGTGCAGGCTTCAGGCCCTGAGCTCTAGACTGGAAATCCTCACGGCTTTCCTGGCTAAGGCGGCTAAGAGCCGGTCTCGTCGTAGCAGAACGGCCCGAATCTTTCATCGGTGCTCTTTATCCCGGATATCCTGGTTTTGCGGGTATGTCCTCCTCAGGCTACATGCGCCAAGTGTGGATGCCAGGAGATCGGTCACCAGATGCCACCAGTCAGCCTCCTCGCGCAGAACACGCAGTTTCAGGGTCCTGCCATGGACTCGGCCTGTGAAGAGCGATCCATTTATGGTTGATGCTTCTTCTGTTTCCTCCTGTGCTTGCTTGCAAACAGCATTGTCGTCATCGTCCTCATTGTGATCATCACCATCATCATCAACGTTACCATCATGATGATGATGTTGACGATGACTATCGCGGCATTTATCGTTTTTGTCAGTTTGCCGTTGTTTATTTCGTGGTAGTTTTTTCTGTCTCCGCTAAGCCGCTAAGCAATGCAAGGCCGAAGCTCGCCGATAGTTCAATTCATAAGCCCCCCCCCAAGCTCGAACATCCAAAGCCTTAAGCTGTAGGCGCAACAGATCCAACGCCCTAAGTCCTACAACCCAGGTGCAAACCATGACGCCTGAAGCTCCCAACTCCGTCAGTCCTACGCGCAAAGCAACCCGAAGCTACAAGCCACGAGGCCCAAGTGAAACTGTGGGTGACGCCGACTGCCTACGACCCGCAAGGGTCCCAGTTGAGAGGGGCTGTCGTTTTCAAGCTTTAAGGTTTGGGACCGGTTTCGCCAAGGGTTTTATCTACTGTAGCTTTAGGACTGGCTTCGACAAGGGATCTAAGATGTTTGTCAGGAAGGGACCGAAGTGTGACAGTAGCCTTTGTAAGCCGCTATCGAAGCCCGAGAGCCTTCAGGCCGTCTCCGGAGAGCGTCGTCAACTCGACTGCTTTGGGCATCATCGACATCCCCATTACTGAGCCAAGTGCTCAGGCGTAGAGTTCTGTGGAATCGACCGTCGGTGGCCAGATTCTCTCGCTCACATTCACGGATCTCTGCACGACGACTCCAAGCGTTTATAACAACATGGTTTAGGGTTTAGGTTTTTAGTGTCTTTTTGGAAGCCCCGATTGTCTACAATACCTGGTGAAAAAGCCCTCACGAGGCGGGCTACGGTGCGACTTGAATAATGAAATTTCGATCGGTCTTAGGACTTAGGATTTATGCTTCAGGGCTTTCGGGTTTGAGAGGTTTAGGTTAGGGTTTAGGGCATGTAGGGTGCCCGGAGCACGCGAAAGTCTATATAGGAGAAATGCAAGAATATCATCTTCCTTTGGATTCGCCAGAGGAACTGTGTACCTAACACCTGAGGTTAGCTCCCTCGTCAAGCAGCCCGGAGTAAACCGGTGCAGTCGTCTCCTGGTCGTTGATGTCGTGGTCTAGCCTTAGCTTCAGCACCACCACTACTGCTGCGGCTGGTATTGGTATTTCTATTGAAACTGCGACTGCTGTAAGACCTTTTCGCTAAGTTGATTTCATGTATCTGAGGGTTCTGATGACTCTGAACAGCTTCTATGGACATGAGAAAGCGGCGGTGCTGCCGGTAAGGCTTGGGCTGTTGCTGAGCGCTCCGGTGGTGGACTACTCCGTCACGTATCCTCCGGGGATGCTGCGCCGATCTCAGAGCTTTACTGCCTTCAAGAAATGATACATATACTGCACCATTTTAACAACAAAGTAGTTAGTAGTGCAAGTAAGTAATAACTGTTGCACCTGTAGGTGATGTATCATAAGTTCTAGTGGTTCCGGGCGCAGGTTGTTTGGGACAGGGGGCTGCAGGGTTTAAACGGTACAGAAGGGGCTTCGAGGGTTTGAGGCCAAGAGGGTTCATGGCTGGCGTCGGGTCCGTGGGATATGAGCCTTGGGGTCGAAGATGGGTAATAAGAATAATGATAGTATATGATAGTACTACTAGTAGCAATTGTAATAGCTGTATTAATTGTAATAATAGTAAGAATAGCAATAATAGTAACAGTGCTGGGTCCACCTCATGTAGGATATTTGCTGAAAGCCTCTTGTCATTGCTTCCAGGGCCCTCTTTGAATGGTTTTGAGTTCTGTTCGGCATTTTCTTCGAGTAGATTGAGCTTCGCTGATGGTGCCGTGAAGCTTTCTGCAGTAGCTGCCACAGCCACACTCTCTCAGATCGGATCCTCAAGCCTCAAGCCTTGTTTCCCCTAGCCTTGATTCATTGTCTAAGATTTGCAGAATATGCACAGTAGCTAGAACCCGCTTTAGTTGTTCAGGTACCTATATACATAGTTGTGCCATGCATGCCAGACTGTGAGTTTCTGTCCTTGCATTTCATCGGTCGCGCCCGGGTTCCACTATGATTGCAAACCTGAAGCTGAAAAACCTAACTGTTGAAGACCCTTGTGGACACAAGGCCAAGTGCCCTAAACCCAACAGCAGAGTTTCCGCTCACCTTGGTGTCGAAGCTTCCTCAAAGCTATGGAAGGAGAGAGCCACTGCTTCTGCAGCTCTTGCGTAGGTAAACGCTGGACCCGACTTTCAGCCTGAACTCCCAGATCCTATGTCCCGGATCCCACATCCCTACTAGAATCCGAACCCCGACATCGCAAAACCTTGGCCGTAAACTCTCTTTGAGTTTGGAGCTGGCCAGGTTCAGCACCTACTTTATTGACCCCACGGAGGAGGGGCACAACAGTGTGCGGAACTTCGCACGTAAGTCCGCATAGTCTTCAGTCGTGTGCATGCATACAAGGAGCGACAAGTATGACCTTGCTTCCTTCGACCTACAGATGAGTCAGATGAGTCTGAGTTTAAGCTGTGCTTGCGTGTATGTACATATATAAACATGGCTAAAATGAGTTGATATGTATATATATACATATATATATACTCACATACTTAGATATGTCAATGTCTACATCTATTTTCCCTTTGTCGCTGTCGCTGTTTGTGTTTGCCTGTCTATGTACGCATTGCAGTGCTCGTCTACAGAGGAAATACTATGGCTACATATAGAGATATAGAGAAAATGGAAATATGTAGGTACAGAGGTATAGAGATATTGACATCCGATGCACAGGTATGCAGGCATATAGATAAACATGCTTAGGTCCCATTTCGTATTGCCCAACAGTTCGCGATCTTGCTGTGCCCCCTTGCATGTAAGCCACAACAGTAGGTTTCGTACAATCGTTAGCTCCGTGCACATCGTGATTTATGGACGCAATCCGATGCCCTCGCCCCTGAAGCTTACCCCCCCCCTCCCTGAACCCTTAAAGCCAAAACCGTACATCGCCTCAATGTTTCCCCGGCCAGCGCAGAGCCCATAGACCCCTAGGATTTGCAAGTTCCGAAACCCCGGGCCTGAATCCTTCCATCCTGAACCTGAACCCGTGAATTGAGACCCGACGGTCTGCTTGTGCCAGGGAGCTGCAGAAGCCTGGGGCTTGCTCGTTCGGGGCGCGGCATCTGTCGAGGCTGGTATGCTTCAGGGTTTAGTGAATTTAGGGTTTGGATTTCTGATTGAGCCTTGCAGCAATGCTAGTAAAGTTCGACAGCATGTGTGTGCGAGTTTCAATTCTATGGCTTTGGGTGTAGAGTAGACTGCCGTGTAGGAGTTGATGGTTTTTGGGTTCAAGGCTTTGGGTTTGAGATGTCAGTTTTCGGGTGTGGGGTGTTAGGCCTTGCAGGGCTTCAGCGGTTTACAGGAAGGCTGCGTGCATGGAGGGGTTTAGAGCATAGATGCAACACCCTCGGCCTCAAAACATGGTAGGATGGGGGTCGAACGAATTGCCGGCTCTGCCACGGCGAACTTATCATTTTCGGCCAGAGTGTGTTCATCTGTTTCAGAGTCTGGTGCTGAGTCCCCGCAGCCACTTTCAGCCAGGTCTCTCCATCCATGCTCTTGGCGACGCCAAAAGTCACCTCCGTCTATCCTCGCATGGTGCCGTGGTCTGACGCTCAGGTTTTTTCAAGCGAGACTCGCGGATCTTTTGAAGGATATCCTGTTATTTATATCAATCTCCGGATCATGCGGTGTTCTAGACTTGTTGTGCACGGGATGTGAGGCATTTACTTGGAGGTACATGGGTACGTAGTTAGAAGTAGAGTCATGAACACCAACTTGTGGTCGTAATAGCCTTGCTTAGATCTACCCACGTCGAACACCTTCCAGCAGCTTCCGGACTCATTGTTACACCTTGATCTTTCCTGGTAATTTCCTCTGCCGTCTTGGGATTCCTGCATGTCGCACTCTGCATGTTTCCTGTGAGATCTCGCCATCCGAACTCCTTGCCTTGGCTACACGCAGTGAGGTGACTCCAACTTAAGCCGTCTATCTCTAGCATGCCACATGGTGCACTTCGGTCCAGGGGACATCATGTCCCGCAACTTGGCAAACCACTCCATAACTGCTTTCTCCATGCACTTGACTCCGTTCCCCGAAATCCCGAGCCCTAAGGCCTTATGTAAACCCTTGAACCTCGAAGACCAAGCCCAAAAGCTCTCTTTGCAAAGCCTCCCCGAAACCGTAAGGACCCTGAAAAGCCCTCAGCCCGACAGACCGCCCCAGAGCCCGGATCAAAGGCTGGACCGGAGCCAGCGTGCAGTCGAGCTCGACGAGGCTGTGGGGCTTCGAGGCTTTTGGGGCTGAGGGTGGTGGGTTTTAGGGTTTCCAGGTGTTGCGACCTCCGGGGTGGTTGTGGCTTAAGCGGGGCTCAAGGTTCAGCCGTGGGGTTTAGGGGTGAAGAATTTTGGGGTTTGGAGGTTTCGGGTTGTGGGGTTTGCGTCTGTTGGGTTCAGTGTTTAGCGGTTTCGGGGTTGAGGGCTGTTGGTCAAGAGATTTTATGTCCCAGCCAGACCTGAACTTGCTTCAATCCCTGTAGAAGCCAGCCCGAAGCCCCTAAACTCTAAACCCCAAGCCCTAAAACCCTAAACCCCGCCATGCGGTGTCCTTTTGGTCCATCTAGTTCGGCAGTTCCGTGTCATGTTCCTGTTGTACATCCTACTCTTGTCTGGAATGCAAACACGCGCTGCAAGCGCGCACTGCGTACTAATTAGGAATTCCATTTGATAGTCCGTTGTAGTGATCCTTGCGTGCCTCTCGCCCGGATCGTCCGCAGTGACTGCTTGCATAAAACCCTAAACCCCTAAACTCTAAAGCCTCCGCAGCTGCTCCAGGATCCAAGCTTGCTGATTGTGGGCCTGGGCTTCGTGAACACAAACTTGCTCCGATGCCGGCTCGTCGACACGGCTCTGCTGGCATGTGACAGCCAAAGAAGCGCTCCGGCTCCTTGAGCCCCAAACCAACAATCCCGTTTCAACTGAAAGGCAGCCCTGAACTCCACATGCTGAAACCCGACGACTCCTTCAAAACCCTCACATCGCCAGTTTGGCCATGCCATTGCTTCGCCTTACGCCTCCTTCATCAGCTCCACGCAGGCTCCGACCCGCAGTCACTGTCACTATTCCTGCAGCCGCTGACACTTTTTCCGTATTCGTATGATTCGCGATCTACTAGGACTGTGAGATCAAGTTGAAGGATACTCAGTGGCACCAGCAGGAGCAGTAGCAGTAGCAGGCGCAGTCGCAGTAGCGGCAGCATTAGCAGTAGCGGTTTGAGTGGGAGTGGAAGGAGTAGGAGTAGTAGGAGTAGTAGTCGTCGTCGTCGCAGTAGTCGTCGTCGTCGTCGTAGTCGTCGTCGTCGTCGTCGTCGTAGTAGTAGTAGTAGTAGCAGCAGGAGGAGTAGTAGTAGTAGTAGTAGTAGCAGCAGGAGCATTGCAGCACCGTTGTCAGCGTCGTCGTCGTAGTCGTCGTGGCCATGGCGGTTTTCCTCATCGTCACTGATGGTTGCCATGGTTGTCTTTTTTGTTTGATGCTGCTGCTACTGCTGCTCTTGTCGTTATTTGAGCCGCGCTGGCATGTATGGCATGTCTTTACGATTATGGTGCTTGGAGCGTTGTTGTCTGGGGGTATGACGAAAACTGCTGCCAGCTGTGTTGCTATAATCCTCAATTGCACAGGTGCGCTGCGGCCTTCCTCCCTTCGAGCTGCCAGGCCAGATGCTCAAGCTTTACGGCTTCTTACAGCTTCGGGTGTCAAGGCAGTTGGGCTTTGAAGATGAGGGCTTGCAGCGCAGGGGTTTGGGGCATGGGGTGCCAGGTTCACGGGGCTTAGGACAGAGTCGGGTCTGCGGCTTCAATCAAGAGCCTCGGGTGGAGACTTTAGGATCTAGCAGCAATCAGACGTCCACAGTACCAGCTGCGCTGTACTACTTGAGCCAAAGCCAGAAGAAGTTTGCAGAGGGCCGGACAGATCGCATCCATCCAAGCCGAACTCAAAACACCCCAAGTTCTTCACCAAAACCCCTCAACAAAATTTGTCGAGTTTCTTGCCAAGGAAGCTCCAACGTGAAGATTGAGGTGTCGAATGATGGCACCGAGTGGTCCACGGAGAGTTTCGAGGCCTCATCCGCTTTAGAATTGAAAGGCGTGCACGCGTTGCTGTTGCTGTTATCATTGCGGATCATTCCGGTTGAAACTGCGGGTGCTGGTCCTATTGTTATTCTTGCTCCATCTATGGTAGTTATACCTAACCCTAAACCCTAACCTCTAAAACCCTAGACCCAAACCCCACTAGTTAAACCAGGGGCCTTAGTAATTACCTATACTATTCTGGGGGCTCCTTATTGCAACTATAGCATAATATACCCCAAAACCCTATTGCATTCTGTCCAGATTCGGTTAAACGATTGGCTTTGACTGTATAGGCATTTGCTGGATGCACAAGGCATCGGAAGCTTCATTCGCATCTGACGCATGTCCGCTACACCCCAAGACCCTATTCTAACTATTATTGAGGCCCCTACCTAGCCCTAAGCCCTAAACCCATAAAACCCAAACCCAAAGCCCCAAACCCTAAACCCTTAAGGCCCCTACATTCTCTGCTCTCATTGCTACGACGGTCCGTCGCGCGTCGCCTCTGTGAGGTCTACATCGTCTCCGCCCTCGAGCTCCGCAAGGCCGCTCCCTCTCCGGTGAGTTGTACCGATAATAGTAACAGTAATAATAATAATGATAATAGTAACAGTAATAGTAATAGTAATAGTAATAGTAATAGTATTAATATTTGTAATAGTAATAATAATAGGATTAATACTCATAGCACTTGTAGAAATAATATGAAGAAGATTAACAAGGATAATCGTAATAGTAATGATACGAACAATGTAATCTGGCGCCGGCTTGTTGAGGCGCTTTAGGGTTTAGGGGTATGGCACCAGATAGGAAGCTTCTCGTCGACCTTTGCAGCCTTTCGCCTAATTCAAGCTGATGGACCGGCTTGGGGTTTAGGGTTTAGGGCTTAGGGCTTCAAGCTTAGGGTTTAGGGCTTAGGGTTTAGGGCTTGGGGTTGAGGGCTTAGGGTTTAGGGTTTAGGGTTTAGCTATGTTTAGTATGACAGATCCTAGCTCATGGGCGCCCCTTGAGATCACGCAGGGCCATGCTCGAGGCCAGCGGAAAAGAAGGAGCCTTGTCAAGGCTGACGGGAATGGAGCCCTTTTCCTGCATCCCGTTTCAAAAACGAAGGGCTCGGCTTTGACGACCATACTGGCGAACCATGAGCTGGGATGTCATCGAGTTGCACGGTTCATAAAGAAGGTTTTCCTTCCGGTTGATTACCCGTCGTCTGTCACCAAGAACTACGTGCACTTCATCTGGTTCACTGCCGGTCAGTTGCTCTTTTGCCACATGTCAAAAGTCATCGCCACACAGGCCATGCTCCTAGCTGTGGGTGTGGGCGGTCGTGAGATGGTTCCGATGGCAGCAGTCACGGCCTGGGTCTTGAAGGATGGCATCGGGCATCTCTTGGCCATCCTTGTCGGAACCTTTATCAACAAGCGCTTCGACTCAGATCCGAAGCGTTTTCGCTTCCAGGCCATAGCCTTGGCCAAGACTGCTGACCTCATCTGTATCCTTACGCTGCAGTGGCCCAAATACTTCTTCGCCCTGTCCGCCTTGGGGGGTGCACTGGGGCGACTGAGCATGAACACCGGCCAGGCCTCGCGCCCGAGGGTCCTCGAGACCTTTGCAAGAGCCAACAATCTCGGCGACATCATGCGATGTAACACCGCCCAGATGACTGCCTCAGAGCTTCTGGGGACCGGCTTGGGCGCTTGCCTGGGACGATTTTTGGGCGCAGAGGTCCACCTCATGATATGTGCCAGTACTATTCTGGCCTTAGCCTCCTTGGCATGCTGCTACCAGGCCACGTGCCAGGTCCAGATGAAGTCGTTGAATCGGCAGCGGGCCGAGTTGGTGCTGGAGCCAGCAGTGCACCACATCTGCGCCAGCTTGAGCATACCGAATCACAACGGGGCTTCAGGAAGCGATGGGATGGATCCACAGAGTCCAAACAAGAGCCCAGCTGCAAAGGCTGTGCTCGTTCCCTCTGTAGAGGAGATCAGAGACCGCGAGGCGTTTGTTCGTCCATACAGGTCAGCAGGTTGTACGCGCTTGGACGTGAACCCCATGCTTGAAGCCTCCTGCCAGCTCCTCACGCCTCTGGACTCAGCAGCGAGACATATCTTGGGCTACTCCAGACGGCGACTGGCTCTATGGTACCACATGGAGGCGACAGCTCCAGACGTCCTGAAGGGCTTCCTCCAGTCTCAGCTGCTGCGCAAGTTGGCAGACCAGGATGGTGGCGATGGCGATCTTGCCAAGCTTAGCCTTCTTGCTGCCGACCTCGCCGAGCTGTGGTGGCCATTGGTTCATGCAGCACTGCTGGCTGCAGGGTGGCAGACAGAGCTGGTGTTTCTGGATGCCAAAGAGAAGCGAATTTGCATCCAAGACTCTGCACCTTCCCAGGTGATTTGCTGAGATGACAAATCACGAGTACTGTACCTAGTGCCTGGACCTTTGCCGTATGAAAACATGTCTTCAATGAGTGACGAAACTGCCTCCTTAATTCTACCACGGTCAAGTATGCTAGAAGTGTGGATTACTCTACCGGTCGGGGTGAGCTATAATTCAATGTAGATGCCGACGGCTCAGCAGAAGCCGGAGCGTAAAGTTCCGGACCTCTGCTCCGTTGCGGTCATTGCGGCAATCCGGAGTTTCGAACTTAGCCGAAGAAATGGCACAATGTAAAGAGACAAATGCTCCTCTGACCCAGCCATTGGCGCTTCGACGTGTTATTGTTTGTTCCGGGGGGCTGCTCTAAATTATGATCTGAATATGTTGCCATACTTCAGCCTATTTCTTATGGGTAGTGCTCAAAATTTAGAACAGCCCAACCATATCCACAGCTAGCAAGGACTAGCTTTGCCTCGAGGCTTTGTTTTACGCCTATGGTTGACACCTGCTTGAAGATTCATGCATAATTGTAACCACGGTCATAGTTACATCGGGGCTACACCGAAGTGTGGTTAAACTAATTTCAGGCCTAGTCCGTGCAGGTGAACATGAACCTTCAAGCGTGATGGGCACCCAGAAGACTGTTCGGGGTCATATTCATGCCGCTCGAAGTTTGCAATTCCGTGCAAAATCCGACCTTCAGATCCTGAATGGAAGGGCAAACGGCATGGGTGATTGGTAATCCGTTAATTGTGGCACGAGGACTGTATGAACTGCAAGACTAAAAATGCTGGCACGCGTAGCCAGTTGTTTTCACTTGTTATCGTTAAGTAGTGCTCATGCTACTCAGCAATATCAGCGGCGAGAACAGAACAGCAACACAGTGACACATTCATCGCAAGTTCAGTGCACAATCGTGCGAGCCCTTGTCCGATGAACAGTAGCGGGCAAGTTCGGGATGTGGTGCTTTACATACCCAGGCTTCAGGGCTTAGGGTTTGTATCCATTGTAAAGTCAGAGCCACTGCCACTTACAGTGCGCAAGTGAACCCAGATCATATCCTTGAGCTTTAACCTCTTGGCAATCGGAGAGCCGAGGTCACATTGCGCCCTGCCTTTGGAGTCCCGACAGGGTCGAACGCGGTGCAGGCCGCTGTAGCACGCCGGTGATGCAGTACAGCTTCTGTGTGTCTCCGTGCATGGGCAAGGATAGGAAGGCTCAGGTCTAGGTTTGTCCCCATCTGCATCGGAGCATGCGGCTTTGAATCTCGGAGATGAATGGAACTTTGTGAACCTGGCAGGTCACCACAGCATCCTCCCTGCCCAAGGTTGGGAGACATGTCACAGTAGTAGCAGCAGTAGGTGGTGGTAGTAGTAGTAGTAGTACTACTACTACTACCACCACTACTACCACCACTACCACTACCACTCCGATGACTACGACTACGACTACAGCTGCGACGACGACTACTACTACT